CCCTGATTACTCCACCACTATCTTTAACTAGTGGGTGTGTCTTCGTGTCTCAACACGGCGTGTTACAGTTGATAGACAGCTGCGCTCATCTTTCCTTTTCTACCTGCCAGGTGAGACACAGGTCCGTCCACTCCTGTCTCAGTCTCACTCCTGTCTCAGTCTCACTCCCTCTGTGGATAGAGCCGAGTCTCCTGGAGGACAGCAGGACGGCGGCCGAGGCCCAGGACAGGTGAGGTACACGTACCTGTCCGACGCTGTACTCTTTCCAGTTTGTGTCTGGCTACAGGTTGTCAACGCTCTTCTAAAAACAAGCTAACGCTTGCCAGGCTGCTGCTCCGCGTTTGACTTTAACCCAGCCTTCGATGCAAAAACCTGTCTCCTGTGGTCGACTTTCTGACACCGTGGGTCAAATTAACTAGTCCTAGTAACAAACTAGTGATAGTGAGTGAGCTGGGAGAGCCTGCTGTGTCAGTCCTAGCTGTGGGCCTGTGTGGTGATGGAGCAGGATCAAACACGCACTCGTGACACATTTCCACCTGTGAACAACATCTGTCTTCAGACGTCAAATCATTTGTCCCCGTCTCTCCCTGCAGCCTCCGTCTCTCTTGTTTCCAGCAGGTCTGTTATCCGCGCAGCTAGAAACTTTGCCTGGGAATTTTGGTGCCTTAAAATTTCAGTCATTGTTTCTGGTTGTGTGTGTAATGTGCGTTCACGACTGGAGCTGTGGATTTCATTTAACGCCGCGATTCATTCGTGAGACTGTGACACCTCGTTTTAACATCTCTGTAGGATGTTTCTGACATTACAGCAGCAGTAACAGCAGCAGCAGCAGCAGGAACAGCAGCAGCAGCAGCAACAGCAACAGCAGCAGCAGCAGCAGCAGCAGTAACAGCAGTAACAGCAGCAGCAGCAGCAGGAACAGCAGCAGCAGCAGTAACAGTAACAGCAGCAGCAGTAACAGCAGCAGCAGCAGCAGCAGGAACAGCAGCAGCAGCAGTAACAGTAACAGCAGCAGCAGTAACAGCAGCAGCAGTAACAGCAGCAGCAGCAGTAACAGCAGCAGCAGTAACAGCAGCAGCAGTAACAGCAGCAGCAGCAGTAACAGCAGAAGCAGTAACAGCAGCAGCCGCAGCAGCAGGAAAACCCCCCTCCCAGCTTTTTTGTAGCTTCCTGTAACGTGTGAGTGACATGTCCACCCCTGGGAGGGCATGGCAGGGATGTCACCACATGCAGACGCAGCATCAGTATGTCAGGTATGTGGCTGAACCAGCTCCACTCAGCCAGAGCTGGGTGTAACTCTGTCCCTGTTTCTGGGGAGGCTTCAATAAAAAAGCTATTAATGAAAGGCTGTCTTTGACACTGACACGACGGAACGTTTATGAGGAAGTTGTTGGTTTCAAGACCGGCGTCCAAAGACGAGACAAAACAAATCAGCTCATCCTTTGTTTTAGGTTTTTTTCCCATGAGCTTTTTCCAGGACGTGGACATTTTCATTTGCATCTGCTTCAACAGAAATAAAAGACAAAACAAATACTTGTACAACGCTGCTGTTTTCTTTTCTGATGAAGTCTTTCACCTTATATTTGTGCAGCGAGTATTTGAATGTTTAAACAGCTGGAGGTCAGCTGGAAACGGGGGCAGAGGACGACCTGTAGTCAACAAATACTCATCAGAATCTGAACCAACACCGAGGTGTAAACACAGCACACTCCAGTGACCTGTGGCAACAGTCCTACATCAAACACAGGTTAATTCAGATCTGTCTAATAATTAAACTGTCATCGGAAAAGCAACATCTCAAAGCAGGATACATCGTTATCAAAGTGTTTCAGGATGAAAAAAACGACGGTTGGAAGAAACTCTAGGAATGAAAACGTAAAAGTAAAAGTATATAAAGACGAGAGCTTCGCACCAACTCTGGTCAAAATCTACAACCACGAGGTCTGCAGGTGATGCTCATGTCAGCAGACAGGAAGTGACACAACAGGGAGAGCGCCGCTGCAGATGTTCAGATCAAATGAACCAAAGAACGACGGGAAAAAAACCAAACACTCGTTCTGTCGACAGAAAAACTGGACTTTTATTTTCCATCAAGACAACAATCTTAAGTTTTACTTGAAACAGGTAAAGAGCCATTATCATACGACCAAAATATATGTCGCTAACTGCTGTGCAAAAATATCCAGACCTGAATACATAAAAAAATAAAAATAAAATAAAATCAGGAGGGCTGCCAAGGTCAAAGGCCCATGAAGGAAAACTGTTGAATCTTATTATTAACCTCCTCATCGTGCGGTGATGTTGGTCTGCGACTGTATCAAAATAAGTTTTCAATAAAAAAATAAAATCAAAGGTAAACTCTGCTCAGAGTCCAACAGTAAAAATGCTGAAGAGTTATTTCTGACATGTTTGTTATTCTCTCACAGTCAACACCAACATAAAGGACACGTGTCGATCCGTGATTGGCAGACGGTATTGCATACATTAAAAAAAAACAAAAAAAACCCAACAACAACACTGTATGATGTTGATCCAGTCTCACGCACAACAGCCAGGATATGATGTCGATCCAGTCTCACGCACAACAGCCAGGAATAAGTCAACACACGTTTCTGTTTTTACACTCTTAACACGGCCACAAGGTGGTGCTCACACCAAACAGTGAATCACATGAGTCCCACACAGGAAGGTGTGGCCCTGAAACAGAACTGTGGGAACAGCATTTTCAACAACAGTCACTTCAGTTCCAGCGGCACAGATCAGTGAAAACATCCTCAGGAAGATCAGCCACATTAGCCACGTTAGCCACGTTAGCCACATTAGCCACACGACACTTGAGAGACAAATTTACATTTCCAACATCTGTCACAACATCAGACACAGAAACAGCCGTGACGTCAGTTCACCTGTTCACGGTGAGAATCATTTTTCTAACTTTATGACTAAATGTGCTTTTAGAAGAAATCACTGACAGACAATCATTCTGGAGCAGTTAATGAACCTCATGTACAGTGGAGGAATTCTCCTCCGTCCACTTCTATTGTTGGTCTGTTTGTTCTGCAGACAGGAAGTGATGTCGGCCTGAGAGTTGGTGAATAAGATCAGACGACAGGGTTGGGATGAAGAAATCAAAACTGTAGAAAATGAGGAATGTTTCTCTGAACAACAACAATCAGGAATGAATCAGGAAGAATCTTTCAACGTTCTCCAATCAAACCACGATGATTTGGCAACACAAATTTATTAAAAAATATTTAAAATAATAATAAAAAAAGACAAAGCAAAAAGAAAATCATATTTTTACTTAAATATAACGTAAGCAGATATTTTCATTGCACAAAATCTATGCCTTAAGAGCTCGAGCAGGGATTCAGGTTTTGGCACAGACGAGCGGTGAACATGCATCTCATCTCTGGCTTGGTTTACAAACGATAATCTGATATGAAAATGATATATATATATTTATATATATATATATATTTATATACACAAATCAGCAATATATGACCGAGCACATATTTTGTCCTTCAAAAACACATGATTAGCTTTTGTGGCTTTAGCCCTTTCTGAAAAAAAAAAACCCCAATAATCTGAGAAGCTTGAAGACTGGACCTGAAGCTGCGTGTACATAGACGTTCAGTAAGCATGCACATAGAAACAGTGAGTCATACACAGAGTATCGTTAAACTGACTTCAGCTTAAGTGAGACAATTGATCTGTCAAAACTACCAGCATTTTGATTAAAAACCTTTTTTTTTCTATTATTATTATTTGTATTGATTCACTACAGCAAAGGTCATAAACAGATCTTTAGGGTCACGCGCCGAGGCCAACGTGGAAAAGCCAATTTGTCACACAGAGTGACGCAAAAGCGCGTTGTCGCTCAGACACCGTGACACGGTGACGGTGACGTCACCTTCTCTCCAGCAGAGGCTCCGAGCCCCGGTCATAATGACTTTCGATTCTCAGGAAGCTGCGTTTGGACTCTTCTGATACTGATTCATTGTAGAGGATTTAAAGGAATAACAAGGAAAGAAACATAAAGTGAGATTCACTGATCCTGACCTCTGACCTCTGACCTGACTGAGGACGACTCTACAGAGACACCGTCGCAAACTCAGGAGGTTTCCCAATACTTTTGGCCAACAGGGCATAAAAAGATAAATAATATACTTAAAAAAAAAAAAGAAAAGAAAAGAACCAAAGGTGGACAGTAAGTCTGGACATGGCAGAAAACCTGAGTCACCGTTTGTAATAGGCACCTGGAAAAGACAGAGAGGAAAGTTAACAACTGAACAAGTCTGTGTCGCTGCATCATGTCTGACATTCTCACCGTCTGTAGAGCAAATTTAATGAACAAATAGAAGTCGACACATAAACACAACTACAGGTGGGATAAGAAAAGAATTTAACAAGTTCAATCCCATCATCGATGGAATCGTCGAGATCAAAACAATAATAATAATAATAATAAATTGACTCCACTTGATCTAAAACAATATTTGATTTTTAGTCATTGTTTATCTGCGACAGTTTCCCCTCAAACAACATGATTTTCCTGTGATACTGGACCATTATAACTGAACTGACTATGATTTGATTAACATTTGTCTTCAGTTTAATCATCAGTAACAGATTGACACATCAGACGTGGGCTGTGTGTTCACACACACACACACACCGACCAAAGGAACCAACACTTACACACTTGGATGAGTTTCAAGTTACGGAAATCATGTAAACGTCCCTGATTTACATGTTACAGAGTAAACAAACATGATTTCTGTGTTTGTATTTTTGACTCATTTTAGTTTCGTGTCATGGTTCACTGCTGCTGCTACGTACCTCTGCAGGCAGCCTCAGGTCTGGAGGGAGGGCGCTGGGGGGCCGGGTGGTCCGGGTAGGCATAGCCAGGGTTTACATTCTCATAGTTGTGCACACGCGGCTGCTGAGGCCTGTCACAGAGGAGAGGGGAGTGAACAGAACTTCTACCTCAGGACAGACCCACAAGTGTTCGACCACGTACCTGGAAGGCTTGTTTTGGTTCTTCTGCCTCTGGTATTCAAGTTCATCACGTGTCCGTGGTCGGACCACTTCCTCTGGATTTGGCTGGAAATCACAAGAAAAAAAAAAATAAAATAAATGAAATCATACAGTAGTTCTTGTCCCGGAGTGGAAACAGTCTGGTATAGAACACATCAGCACACGCGTGTTCTTGACGTTACCCTGTAGTCTCCGTCCGGCCGCCGCCTCTCCATCGCCATCCTCTCGATGGCCACCCTCTCCTTCTCTCGCTCCTTCTCTTTCTCCCGCTCTCGATTCCTCTTGTATTCTCGTTTTTCCTGTTCCATCAACAGTCGGGCTATTTCCTGAACACAGTGAGGCAGAAGACCACCACATATTATATAAAAGATGGGCACGACCTTGAAATACTTTGTTTGTGGCTGAGCTCAGGAAAATCATTCACTGAACAGAAATCAAACACCGACTCTTACCTCGTCCTGTGCCACTTGGACCGCACGCACGTGGACGTTGCTCGCCTAAAAACAAATGAAAACGGAGAAGTGACCGTGGTGGTTAAAATTCAAGCTCAACGTCATCTGAACGCTTTCATTAAACAGACACTGACGTGGTCTGCAGTTCAGAAAATCTGAGAAAAACAGTAATAAAGTATTTGAAGAATTTATTCTGAACCTTTAATGACATGCCTCAATTTTACCTGAGAAAATCTGAGAAAAACAGTAATAAGTAAGTATTACTTAAAAGTATTTAAACCTTTAATGACATGCCTCAATTTTACCACATGAAATTTCCAGGGTTGTAATGAGTGGCAGTGCCAGACATTTTTCCCCTCAAGGAGCCAGAATGTGTGAACGGACACCAACAACATTTAAACTCAAAACATTTTTATAACAAAAAGAAAAGAAAGAAGCTTTTGTTCTGGTGGTTGAGTGTGAAGCCGTGGACGATCACGGCCTCCTGTGGTTCTACTCCTGAACATGAACCAGTGTCAGCTTTCATTAGGACAGGACTCTGACTCTGACTCTGCCTCCTCAGCTTGATTCTCAAACCAATACAAATCACCGTGGGACATAAATCTAACAAACCCGGCCGAGACAGACTCCTCAACGCTGACACCCTGTGAATCAAAGGCTATGACGCAATTTATCACCAGCGTCATCAGCTGCGACGCCACGTCTTAAACGTCAAGACTCGTGCTGCCCCAGCCGGTCATCAAACAAACACACTCTGTCAAAGAGGCTATTTTTAGTCACAGGATCTGGACGACGTTGAACATAAAATATGACCCGTGTCGTTGAGCTACAACTGTTTAAGGTCAACACCGTAGTTTCATGACTGTTATCTGAAATCGTACAGAGCTGACAGTTTCTACTGTCTGACCTAGAAGATGACCTGGTCACTCTGAAGATGATGAAGATGATGAAGATGATGATGATGATACGAGGGCAACAACACGATAGACTATAACGTACCACAATACTCTTTTGGATAAACAAATGAAAAAAATAAGATTGTTTGAGTCGAGTCTCAAATGCTTGAAAATACATGCAGTCCATGTTCAATCAAAGACAACTTTTACTGCAGTATTAACATGAGGGGAGTAGTTGAAGTAGTATTCCATATTTATTCCTCATTATTACTGTATAAATGAACGGGCCTGCCGCCATGTTCTTCACCTCCCTCCTCACCTTCATCTGCCTCCTCACCTTCACCTCCTCCTCACCTTCATCTGCCTCCTCACCTTCACCTCCTCCTCCTCACCTTCATCTCCTCCTCCTCACCTTCACCTCCTCCCCCTCCCCCTCCCCCCCCCCCCCCCCCCCCCCCCCCCTCCTCCACCCCCTCTCCTGCTCCTCCTCCTCCTCACCTTCACCTCCTCCTCACCTTCATCTGCCTCCTCCTCACCTTCATCTCCTCCTCACCTTCATCACCTCCTCACCTTCACCTCCTCCTCCTCACCTTCCCCTCCTCCTCCTCACCTTCATCTCCTCCTCACCTTCATCACCTCCTCACCTTCACCTCCTCCTCCTCACCTTCATCTCCTCCTCCTGCAGCTTCCTGGCCACCTCCATGTCTTTGAACTCCTGCTCACGGAGATCCAGCTTGGTGAGCCCCCTAGTGGCCTCGTTCAGCTCGTATTCCGTCTCTGGCACCACCGCACCGATGCCTCTGTGCAGGAGACGACCTGTAAGACATCATGTGATCAGTGACATCATAACTTTTTCATTCTCACACTTACTGCACAAATCAAACTCATGGTTTGATACTGAATTTCCAGTATTTCAATTATTTCACAAATGAGAACATTTCTGATTTTGTTTCATCTGGATTTGAGAAGTAAATCAAATTAACGTGACGAGAAAAGATTGTTTCTAATTTTCTGTCAACAACTGGCAGCTCCAACGGTTCGAATCATCTGCGGTGCTCGTGTAGACAGAGGCACCAACGGGCGTCAGTGGTTTTCACTGGTTTCACCACAAACTCAATTCAACCAGTTCATTACAACTGAAGCCCATTGTAAATGCCATGATTAATGTCGTCATAATTCTGTGCAGCAATTAAAAAAAAAAAAAAAGAAACACTTCAGGTTGATACAGAATCAGCAAAAACCCACAACGAAGCAGAAACAAAATCAATCAACTCAGATCAGAAACCATCGCAGATTCTCAGTGCGTACAAAAAAAAAAAAAAAGAAGGTGTTCAAGGCTGGATTAGCAAGAGTGTTTACTGCAGTTCAACCCACCACCACAGATTACCAGAGCGAGAAAGCAGCGGCCGACACCACACACACCCGGCTCAGGGTGGTACCTGTCTCACTGGTGGGGTGAGTATAAACCCGCTCTCTGCTGCGACCCTCCCCCTGCTGAGGATCCGAGAATCCTCTGGTGTCCCCCTTCCTCTCATCACTCATGAGTTCGTCAAAAACGTCTTCAGGGACAGACTGGACTCGATGCCGACCCCTTTCTCTCCTTTCTTTCTCGTCAACATCCTCTTCCTCCCGCCACGGTGCCCTGGCGTCCGTCGACGAGTCCCTGATGAGACCGTGCTCTGAGAAATCCTCGTCAAGGACTCTGTCTCTGCTCCTGGTCCGTCCTCGTCTGTCTCTGTCCTTCTGTCTCTGCCGATCTCTGTCCCCCTGTCTCTCCATACTGTGGACTCTCTCCCTGGACTGTTCCTCCTTTCCTCCTCTCACTCTCCCCCATCTGCCCTCCTGCCCCCTGTCCCTCCTCTGCTCTTTTACCGCATGTCTCTCCCACTCCAGGTCTCTGGCCCTGTCTCTGTCTCTGTCTTGTCGTCTGTCTCTGTCCCTCTCTTTGGGAGTATGAGGTGGAGGAGGTCTGTCTGGCCTCTCCTTTCTCCTCACATCTCGGTCTCTGTCCTCTCCTCCGTGGGCCCTGCTCCTGCCAGCATCAGTCGGTTCGTAATCAAGTAACCTGTCACCATGCCTGCCTCTAGAGGGCAGTAGGTGCTCTGGGTAGGGATCTGCGTGCCTGCTGCGCCCTCCCTCCGCCCCTGAGTAGTGGTCAGGGTATCTAGAGCGACTGTGGGGGGCAGCTGGGTCCTGTCTGGGGTTTCTGCTCCGTTTGGGCTCCGTGGAGCTACAATCTGGGGAGAAATCACGACGCGAGTTCGCCGAGGCATGGGTGTCGTAACGGGCGGGAGAAGTAGAGCTGTGGTGGGCGGGTTTGTCCAGGTCAAGAGGTCTTCTGGCAGCTGTAGAGTCGGAGGAGACGAGGGTGGAGGTAATGACGGTGGTTGTTGTCCACATGGAGTGAAAAACAACAACAACAACAACAGGTGAGTTAGGCCGAGGTGATTAGTAAAGCTGGACATGAAGAGAACAACAACGGAGAGACTGGCTGTCGACGAGAGAGTTAATGCAAATGTTAGGGTTGTAAGTACTGGGCTCCACCCAAAACAGAGTTGAAGTAAGTGAGTTAATGCTGCAGTAAATTTATCAGAAACACAACGGAACTGCTTTGAACAACACGCAGCAGACAGAATCCCTGTCCTGTAAAAAACATCAAGTGGAAAAACGTGTTTATATGTGAGACGTCCCTCAGCTGGGAGTTGGCCTGTCACTCATGAAGGTTTGAATGGAAACAAATGACTTGGTAAGAACTTAAGGCAGCAACAGTGGAGGAAGTTGTCCGTGAGCCCAGACTCAGCTCAGTGGAATTCCAGATATTTCATCTGATGCTTTAACGTGTCTCTTCAAACTTTAATGATATTCAAAAAGGGAGGATCAGGTAGATTTGTAAACCACACACACACACACACACAATCAGATACTAAAAAAAAAAACTCACAAAACACATCAACAAATTGAAAACTCTGTCAGACTGAGATTAAAGAACCTTAACTAGAATACGTTTGAAACTCACTTTAAAGGTTCTAAAAGTTGCTTCCATCATCAGTGTAAAACCATACACTGTACAGTGAACAGACCTGTTCTGTACACTGTACTCAGCTGTGGTCTTCGACGTTACGTAACAAGGTCAAGGTCAAACATGAAGCAGAGTCACTGAATAATCAAGTTGATTATTGTGCAGAGCCGACACTCAGTGGGAGTGACTTCAGATCAGATCACACTGCAGCTCCAACACGTTAACAACACACGTCAACAACACACGTTAACAACACACGTCAACAACACACGTTACAACACACGTCAACAACACAACACACGTCAACAACACACGTCAACAACACACTTTACACTTTAACAACCGCTGCCTCTGTGACACGTTTCCTTGGTGGAGGTGAGCACTACAATAGATTAACCAACCTCTCAGCAGCAACAGCTCGAATGTAAATGTTGTCTATTTTATAAAAACTGAAAAAATAAAACAAAGTGCAGTGAAGACACGAAGCACAGACAATGTAAATTGCACTTTAAAAAAAGTGCAGTGAAGACACGAAGCACAGAGTAACGTCAGGATCTTAATGTTTGGTGAAAAAGTGTCAGAAATTCATAGAGAAGATGAAACAAAGTCATCACTGAGGGTCAGTTCACGGTCGTCAGTAAACCGACCTGGAGATGAATGACGCGTGACGTGTGTTTATGTAGAGGGCTGTAAAATGGTCGGTCACATGGTAGTACAACACACGGCAATGAACAACGTTTTTGTCTCCAAATCTTAAAATGTGACAAAAAGAAATTAGAATTGGGAGAAATGTGCCATATTTCAAAATGTTTTTGGACCAAACATTTGTTCACCCTGGGCTGAACACCAGGTGACCTCCAGCTGCTGGGTGGAGACCTCTGGTTAAAGGTGTAGTCAACAGTTTATGGAGACATTCCAATATGTTTAATTGGAATATAATTCAACACATTGTTCTAATTAGCAACAGCTATTCATGCTGTGCAGCAAAGTAAAAACAGATGGTACATTTAGAAAAAAGAAAGTTGATATTTGGCCATAAAAGTCGACAACAAGCACGGATTGAGATTAGATAAAATCTCCAAACCTCCACGGTCCTCGAAGAACTCCTCCTCCAGGTTGATCTCAGAGGTTTTCTGTCTCCTCCTTTCCTCCTTCATCTCCTTCTCCTGCAGCTTACGAGCGATGGCCTACAAAGAAAAGCAAGAGCCAAAATGTTTGTCTTTGGGGGAAAAAAAAAAAAAAGGATTCCTTGGGGATACTTTTGCCTTGACAGACTTTTTGTTCTCAGTCTAGATCAGGCAGAACAACTGGTATCTTAAAAACCCTAACATGTAATTTCATTTTGAAATGTGAACAAAACTCTCTCCCTTCCATCTGATCCTGAAAGATTAGATGTTACAAATTCATGATGTTTTATGCAAAACAAAAAAATCTGAAAGATTAGATGTTACAAATCCATGATGTTTTATGCAAAACAAAAAAATAATTCAGCAGACATTTGAAGTACATTTTTATATTTTAGAACATCAAACAACCAGAGCACAGAAACAGCACGAGTCTTACTATCTGTGGGAAAAAAAACAAACTCCTCTACTACGGAGTCAAAGGAGACGCTGACCCTCCTACTGTTGTGCATGAAAACATTTGTTTGAAAAAGTCTGTGTGTGTGTGTTTGTTTGTTGGTGGGCGTTTCTTACCGCATCCTCTTCTTCCTGCTGTCGTTGCCGCTCTGCCTGTCGAGCCAGTTCTTCCTGAATCTCCTGAGCGATCTCATTATCTTGGCGCTCACTGAGTTCACCGTAGGTGTTCCACGTGTTCCACGGGGCAGCGTGCACGGAGGAGAGGATCAGGGTTACGTCATGAAAATCTGCTACACACCTTATTACCAAGAAAGCTTTTTTTTTTTTAATGTAAACTACCACTGATTTGTCTTCAGTAATGACTGAAAAACCTTCAGGTCTTTTCTGGTCCATAGTTCATGGTTGGATCAGGTAAAAAAAACTCAGATTCACACCTGCAGTTCAATTCAAAGTCTCAAACTCACTACAGGTTAAGGTTTTCCGTGTGTGAAATAAATGTTACTGAAGACGTCGTGTGACCAGCACTTCTCACTCCTGCTGCCATCACACTCTCAGTTTCTCAACTTCTCTGCTCCAACACTAATTATTTTGCCAAAAATCAAACGCTGAGTAATCGCTGCCATACGACAACATGTTGCTATGATGAAATGTTTTCATTTATTATCAGCAAAAACACAGAGTCAGGCTCTCCATCTGTCAGGCATGTTTTCAAAGATGTCGTGTGTTCAGACCACGTCTCACTTCACATCTTAATCACGTGTATTTTGTTTAAAAACTCCACAGTCGTGCCTGGAGGGCTGGTATGGAAAGACTCTGACTGTTCATAGACAGAACCTGACAGTTTCTGTCACCTGTTTTTGACCCCAGCAGGTGTCGACCGACTGTAGCAGCTGGGTGTAGCGTCTTCACCACAGCCGGTGAAGTTTGCCTGAAGATCATTTGCCTGATCTTCAGGCAAATGTGAGGGTTTGTGTGAGTCAGTGTCGTAGCATCTGGCCTCCTCACGGGGGTGAGACTTTTCTGCTAACAGTTGAGTTTGTGTATGTGTGTGTGTGACTAACACACTGACCAAAAGTCAGCCACACTCACCTGCTGCCCAGGATCACACACACACACAAATAAGGCAGAGAAAAATGCTAGGGTGCTGCTGAGGCCTTCACGGACGACGACAACACAGTGTAGTGTCTGTGTTTTTGTTTTTGTTCTAGAGGAGACACTCACATGTCAGTGTTCTGTTTCTGGATCTGGATCTTGGCCCTCTTGTCCTCTTCCTCCTGAAGTTTCTTTGCCACCTGGAGGTCGTTCTGGACCAGGCGGCTCTTATGGACGTTGGATGCCAAGTGGCTCTCAACTGTAGACACACAAACACACAACAGGAGCGTCATTATATGACGACGACAGACTCTGGAGTTCATACACAGATCCACACTTTTCCTCGGAGCAGAAGTTGTTTTTTTTAGGAGGAGGAGATGGAGGACACAGACACCGTGGCCATAAACAAGCAGCGCTCTTCGTCACTGAGAAATGAACGTTCACAGCTGAGGCGTCGTTCCAAGGTTTTGTGATGGCACGTCGTGGACCAGAACAGATGATAAATCCTGCATGCTGACGCACACCAAGTGCTTTAAACGCATGGGACGCATCATTCACTCAGTCGCTCAGCTCTGCTTCACCTGCCAATCGATCCGTTCCCAGCTTCAATGTGAAAAGGACCAAATTACATCTGGCAATTTACCCAGAAAAATCTCTGAGGTTTGATTTCCTCTCTGAGTCACAGCTGTTGCAACTTGGTCAACAGTCAAAGACATTGACTTTGTTTTGATGATATGATGCTGATAAATTGTTTAAGTTTATAACAACTCACAATAAAATCTTGGAGGACAACTGATCCTTTATCCACTACCATGTGTTTGAATAGGAACATCAGTTAATCTTCCATTGCAGCAACAACTTGACTGGACGGTGGTCAACGTGACACATATTTATTTATTAAGTCAACGACCTATTAGAACCAGAGAAAATCATTCGGAAAAAAAAAAAAAAAAAAAAAAAAAAAGACCTGCAAAACAAAGGTGTGGCTGTCCAATCAGCAGACGGTTAATAAGAGGCTAATAAGGGACAATTATTGTAAATAATTTATTTATGAAAATGTCTTAAGATTTTTCTCTAAATATCTTCTATTCAAGTGAAAACACTTCTATCACTGTTGTTTTTAATCTCTAGAGATTTTTTTTTTTTTCACACCAGCTCACAATCGGCTTCTTTACTTTAGTCTAAGGACTGAATTTGACATTTGAAGTGAATTAAAAACGGATCATTTTTAAAGACTGGGATAAATCCTCGGTCAAACACTTTTTAACTGTTGAAGCTGCAGAAATTCAACAACATCTGTCTTAACACTTTTTGACTTGCCTTTGTACTGAACTCTGTTTAAATTGTTTACAGCAATGAAAAATAAAACAGAAGAAATAAAAAAAGACAACAAGAACAAAACCGCAGAACGAGTTAAAACTAAATGGACATCCTGTAGCCGTACTTCCTGCTCTAATTTAATAACTGGTGATGATCATTCACGAAACCACAAGAAATGTTTCGTTCTGAGAACCAGAATGATGCAGAATCAGAACATCAGACCCATTAATGAGGCAGCTTCTCTGGGCAGCAGCTGCAGATCAAAGGATGACTGTGATCCACCAGAGTCACAGGCATCAGTTCACTACGTTCCATCTGTGCGCTGACTTATCGTGACTGTTCCTTTAATGTGATCTGGCCGAGGTTTAATATAAACATAAATATACAGATGGACAAAAGAAACGCTGGAAAGAGTTGATACATGCTCCGGCTTTTGTTCCGTGCAGCGTTAGGATCAGTGTGGAATCCAACAGCACGGTTTGTCCCAAAGACTGATTCAACAGGTCTGATGCCGACAATGTATAATAAATAATTTGAACATTTCCACAGGTGGAAAGAAAAAAGCACGCATTCAAGCATGAAAACAGATGTGTTCATGTCGGTTTTGGTTGAAGAAAAAAAAACAATAGAGCGTTTCTTACTTTCTTGTTCCTGGAGGTTATAGGCCAGACAGTGATCTTCAAGCACAGCAAAATCCCGACACACTGAAAGAAAGAGGTTGAAATTAAAAACACATTTGGCAAAAGACCAATTAGACAACAACCAGATGCTGCTTCAGTCAAACTCAGTCAAGGATTAGCACATATTTGCAGTCAGACCAACGCCAACAACTTTTAGATTCAACTTTGAATTTAAAAGCATTTAAACATAAACATCTGTCCTCGCACAAACACTATGTTTGTTCTGGGTTAAAGCAACATCGAACAGTCCGCACAAACACTGACAACATTTTCAACATGTTCTGGGTTAAAGCAACATCGAACAGTCTGATTGGTTATTTCGTTATCTTTCTTTTTGGGGGTGAGTGTGTGTGTGTGTGGTGGTGGGGGGTCCAGGGTGAAGATACAATGTTTTTTAAAGAGTAAGTGAAATATTATGTAGAAGCTACAGTTGTTGTTCTACCTCTTGGTTTTTAAAGAGTAAGTGAAATATTATGCAGAAGCTACAGTTGTTGTTCTACCTCTTCTATAAATTCACACTGGACATGAGATTCACACATACAGTAAAGTCTTGAACTTCCTTTTTTGGCCAAGTCTCAAATGACGAGGCATATTTATCAGTAGTTGGTTATAAATAAATAAAATATTACATGATGTATTTTAATGGTTTTGATTTTACTGGTGTCAGAATTCTCCCAGTATTCATTCTGGGAACAACTGCAGGATGTTGTTGGTGGGGAGTTTTATGTAAAAAAACCCAAACGCCACTACCACACAATCCACCAACCAGTCAGTCAGTCAGTCAGCCAGCCAGCCAGCCAGTCAGTGCTGAAGTGAAACTACATTTATCTTGTTTTCAGTTTGAATATCGAGAAACATAAGGTGGTTTTTTTTTTCGTTTTCTGTGGAACATCTTTTTAAGGCCTTTCTTACTGGAAATCCTTAGCTGGTTATACATTTGTTGACAAATAGCATTGCAGTAAATTTTAAGAGGAAAAAAAAAAAAACTCTGACCAGTGTGATTGATTCATTCAGCTAAGACAGAACGACAGAACAAGGCCTGGACGTCAGGGCACAGGAAGATAAACACGTTGACCGCTGCACCTTCCTTGATAAACTTCACCTTCTTGTGATTGGTGTGAAATATTAACACTGTGACTCAGATGTTTGTACATATTCAAACACATTCAGCCTCTTTGATTCTAGACGTTGACATTTAAATGATGCTAACTGCTAAACACTTCAACTAACAATTTAAAAATAAATACGCACATACACGACTAAGTGTGGCCACAATATCAGAGAAACACAACCACACACAACTCAGTAGGTGGGGTTCGAACTGGCAACCTTCTGGTCATAAACTTATCATTTGCCAAATGTTCACTATTATTACAATTGAAATGTATACACATTTTAATAAGGCAAAGATCAAACTGATTCAGTTCAGTTGACGCCAATGAAAGATTGTTGAGAATAAAGTAAAACTGGAGAGAAGACCCTCACTCTGTCCAGTCTGGACACACTGACCAACATTAATCACTTGGCTAATCTTTTTAGCAAAGACATGTCGTCCATCACATGGCTAATCTTTTTAGCAAAGACATGTCAGATTCATTGCAGCTGCTACAGATATACATGCTGGTTATTTATAACTAGTCCTGGACTTTTCATATTTTCTATTTATTGCCGACTGCACGGTTTCTCAAACGTCAGCATTTTACTGAACACAGTTTGGCCCCAAAACACATCTGCAAAACATGATTTTCGGTTCTTATTTTCAGCACAAAGATGGCAGGGTAACGGTGGAAAATAATCCCAGCATGACACCACAAACACCACAACAGCCGACGCTTTTCTGTTTCAATCACAGCTGAAAATATCAAACACACACACACACAAACTCTGGGTTCAACAGCGAGGACTGAACTGAATTATGGTCTAAAATACACAGAGAAGGAAAGTGCTCAGCTCCTCCGTCGATTCACTGCCTCTGGACTTCTGCAGACTGACCACAGAATTAAGATGCACATCTTTTCCCTCTCTGACCTGAATAATAAACATCATGATCAACGGCTGCAGGAGGGGACCAATCCAAAATGGACAAACGCTGTGAAGCCGACAGGAGGGGACCAATCTAAAATGGACAAACGCTTGGAGTGGCTGCGTGGCCTAGTCGACCATCAGTAACTAACTGAAATAACCAGCAACTGTTTTTGATCAACTATAAACATAAAGAGAATGAAATTATATATATTTATATTATGAAAGTGAACTACTGGTCAGTGACACAGCACACGTCTAAATGTGACCTCTGCATTTTATCCATCACCAAAGCGCCTGGGAGCGTGTCGGGCTCAGAGCACCTCAGTGGCAACTTGGTGGACTCGAACCTTGAACCTTTCGGACCAAGTCCGCTTCCTTAACCACCAGGTCACCACCATCATCTCATCAACAAATGTAATACCTGGGAAAACATTCATATATACACACGTGTGTGTACACAAACACACGTGGTCACCTGTGTGGTGTTAGGTTTTTAACCTTCATCTAATCCTTGGATTAAGTACATACGTCATTTACCTTTGCTGTTTAGTTGATTGATGGCTGACTAATGGTTTTCTAGTCTAAAAAGACTTTGACATCTATTTTATCAGTGTAGTTATGTTATGTAGTTTGCCTCCTAAATATGAAACAGTCTCGATCCAGGCCTGCAAACAAACAAAAAAGACTGGAGCTGAAGCATCTTCATGGTCTACGATACTTGAACCACCACAACACATTTAATAAACAGCTTAAAAAGAAAAGAGGACTCGGTTCAGTCTGGCTCTGACGATACTGACATCTGTACGAGGGCGAACATTGAAGCACAGGAAACACGCGTGTGGTGCCAACCTGCTCTTTGTGGACATTAAAAAAAAACACACACAATAAAGATTCAGCCGCATATGACGTGGACTGGGGTACGACACCGGGCACGACACCTGCACCCAGCAGCTCATCGGCACTGCCTCCAGCCCCATTCTGTGCTAGCACCTATTAGCACCTAGTGCTAACTACCGTGATTGTTATGGTGAATGAAAACAGACACAAACACCCGTGTTGCGCTCACTCAGAATCACAATAACGTACACACTCAACAACCCATGTGAAAATGATACTGTGAACGTTACCCTCTTTGACTCCAGGGAGTTTTTTCTGGTCGATGCTAACGTTACATTCAGCCATGTTGTCACCGGTAGTAAGTAAAAAGAAAAAAGAAAAAAAGCTGACTATGACTTATATGTCCACGCGTCTTTCTTTCGAAGGTTAACGGCAGCCTGATTGATCGCCTTGACTCATAAAGGCGATGGATGGTTCAGGTGCTGGACGGCCCCGTTGATTAGTTTCGGTTGCCTCCCTCTCTCTCCCCTCTCTCTGTCTCCCTCTCTCTCTCCCTCTCTTCCTCAGCTACGTCGCTGCTGTAATTGTCTGGCGGCTGCTCTGCTGCAGAGAGCGTCACATTCCCTTTACGACCGTCCGTCCCTCCTTCCTCCGAGCTGCCGCTAAAGTCAGACGCAACACACGATGGTTTTCCTCTCAGAAACTTCACAACAAACGCCACGGTATCGCTGTGATATCGCTGTGCCAAGTTGTCGAGTGACAGGGCAATAAATAACCACCAGCGAAAACAACACTGTGAAAAATCAGAGCCGAAAGTCCATCAGATAATGATATTTAAAAGCGATGTTTAAAGCAGCCCAGGGCGAGGTACTTTAATTAACTCATCCTGCTAATTATTATTATTATTATTTCGAATTTTGAATTTTTATCATAAAATACTGTAGTGATCACGTGGAGATTTTAAACGTCCAGACAAAATAAATAATTGTGTTTTGTGAAACTGAGCTGTTAAGTTAAGTATAGTTAAGTAAATAATATCATGGATATTAACAGTATAAATGTCTAAACAATAATTATTGTTGTGTGTTGCTTATGAATGTTAACGTTAACACGTTAACGGTGATCTTATTTTGAAAGCCTCATTACACTTCCGGTAAAAGTCTCGCGTAATGTGATTAATTTCAGTAGAATTTCAGCGACCGTAGACGTTTGCAGCTCCAAGAAACCAAAGTCTCTCACACACTTGTAAACAGAAACACACACTGAAACATTTAGAGAGAGAGAGATGTTTAATTATTCTGTTACAATCTTTGAGCTTCAGAGTACAGTTGCTGGTGGATAACTGCGCCCTCTAGCGTCCGTAATTGTAATGCACAGATTTGTTTTCAAAAGAGTTTCGTGTTAGTTTCGACACATTGATAGTTTGAACCAGTAACTGACTGGAGCCAAAAAGACTTCAATAAAAACAGTTTCAACAAAAAGGGTTAAGTTGTTTTATGTAAGAATAATAAAAAACATTGTTGAACAGAAGCAATAAAATGAATTTCCTCATTCAAGTTAAATGAGGTAAACAAAGTGTACAGATTTGTTTGTTGCAACACCGCCCTTTTTTTTACAGGGTTGTTTTTTGTCATACTTAGGAATGACGATATAATTATAATATATAATATTACAAACGTAATAATCCAGCAGAGCGTGACACTGTCCCACAATTCTACAGGATATTCCTTTAATTGAAGGGGCTCTAAGGGGATTCTAGTCAAAATAAACTATTTCCTAAATAGGAGCAGAGGTCAGAAGAATCTAAAAAGGACTTGATGGTAACCAGGAGCTCCCACCAGGTCAGTCAACAGGTGAAAACTGATATTAACTGATATATTGACAACCTGTCCCTGGCAGGTGTCAGAGAAGTGACTTCCATGATGAACAAAACATGACTGAGTGACTTCAGAGAGGCCGGTGACTGATGTTCCTGAAGCCTGTATACGAGTGTGACGCACTTAAAATAAATAAAAAAAAAAAAAAAACCAACCCAGAATCACTTTACTTTTCAATCCTTCTCCAGACCAACACACTGTCACGTACCTATTTATGGAGGTAACTAATGTAAAAGACAAATATCTGTGAGTGCCAGAAATATCTGCTCAAGGTTTCTCCTCAACAACAGGCTGATTGATATCCTCCCCGTCGTTTGATTGGCCCATGTCTTAGTGATTTAGGGTCAGTTGTCCCACCACTAACGTCACCTCTCTATATTTTACTCAGACGTTTCATGAACCCTGTAAATAGGTGGCCTATTGACGAAAAACCACAATGACCAGCTATTAATTTAGCACGCAGCAGGCTGACTGGCTCCTCCCCTCGGCCTCCGACAGGACAAATATATTGGCTGGTTGGACCCAGGGCATAACATCGTTCAGTCGTTCACTTTGTGGAAGGAAGAATTCATTGAGCATCATTTGTCAGGGTCCGTCTGGTGCGACTGTCATGGACAAGTCTACGATCCTGAACCACAGCTTAGGACTCCTGGGTTTGTTTCTGCTTCAGGGCGTGTTGACTGTGGACGGGAGGAGCACCTTCAACCCTGGTCAGTATCAATAAATACACGTTGTTTAGTGTTATCGTTAGGTTCAAATGTATTATTTAAATATCTGTGAGCAGCAAGTAGTAACAGAAATAAAAGAAGGAATTTATATGATTTACTCTATTTTATCTAATTCATCTATTCTTTATTAATGTGCTAAGATTTTACTTTTTTTTTTTTTGGATAGGAAACCACATTTTTTATCAAAATGAAGACACAGACACCCAGAACAAGATTCTCGCACTATTATTGCACAAAAGTGTAATTCCAGTGGGAAAGGACGAACCTTTAGGTAAGAGATTAAAAACATTTTTTTTTTCATGATAAAGCAAAACATATTTTTTGTGTAGTGATGATGGTTATTTTTCCATCCACAGGTCCTGAGCTGGTCGATAAACTGGCAGAATTAGAGAAGGTAACAGAGTTTACAGAAAACCTCTTATATTTGTTCTCTGATTTTGAAATGTTTTTGTTCTAGTTTTCAAATAATGATAACGTATTCATGTGCCAGGATAATGAGATTTTATCTCAATGGTATCTTTGTTGGTATTATTATTATTAATAATAAAACCTGTTACCATGAATACATGTTTATATGACGTGAGTTCTCCTCGTAGCTGAAGCTGCTGAAGGAGGATCTGGAGCTGGAACGACAGATCACAGCGAATCTGGCAGAAGGAAAATCCATACCTCAGAACCCCCAGAGGAGGGCAGAACGTAAGTCACTTTAAACATTAGTGTATGAAACAGTTAAATGTGCAGTATATTTGACCGTCAACTCTTTTATAAACCCTTGTGTATGCAGCCTGCTTCTGGAAATACTGTGTCTAACATGGAGGCCACAGACGGAGGACCACCGTGAAATCTTGCTGCAAACCCCAACTTGGCCTTAAGACTCAACGCACCAGTAACACAGATTCACCATGAAATGATTTCTGCAATCTCACACTGTACCTTTATCACTGCCATCAATAAACATGTATTTACTGCACTGAAGTGATTTCATGAAAGTCTGAGACCCAGAGACCCTGGTACGGTCTTCATTTGTGGTCTGTAAATAGTCAACAGATGTAAAACTGGAGGGGGATGGAAATGGGGGAGGAGGAGAGTGGGAGCTTCTATTTTCAGCTGAGTTTTAGTTTTGCTTTTCTGCTTGTGATAGTGTCTCCCTCTTGTGGCTATCTTTGGAATTGCAATTTTTAACAGTCAAACATACACTGTCGTCTTTCCCGTTTTACCAAATAAATGATTTCAGTGATTCGAATGATTTTGTTGCTGCTATATGTAAATCCTTTTAGGTATTAATGTAAACGTTTGTCTTCCTCCTGATTGGTCTTGACTGGTTTCAGCTCCGCCCTCAGTTGAGCGTTAGTAAATGAATAAAGATTTCCAATTACCCATATTTTCTAATTTATAGAACGTAACAAATATCTATGTATTTAACATGAACTGGATGACATATTTAATTTAAATGTAAAGGAGTTATTCTGCAATTTTATAAAAATAACAATCTATATTCAATCAATACTGGACGCCTGGTGTTTAGCAGTGGAATATAGAACCAGTAGGTGGCAGTAATGTCATAGATGCAAAGCTGACAATGCAAAGACAACATATGGTGTAAACAAGGCCTTTTAAAGCTGTAAACACCAGATTTCACAACTCCTACTCCAGTAATACAATACTACATCCTACTGAGTACTACTCTACAATTCTACTACAAACCACTGTTGAAAACCAGTGCTTCATCAGGGAGGTGAGTAAACAAAAAAAACAGTGCTTCATCAGGGAGGTGAGTAAACCTCTGAAACTACTACAGTCATTAGACTGTCCGTCCTCCTGAACTTGTTAACTGTTGCTCTGCCTCCGTCCAGTCGGCGAGCACAGAGACAGGCACCGAGTGAAGAGTGACAGCTTCCTGTAGAAGAGATAAGGCCACAGGAAGTGAACCCACAACCTCAACAGTCTTCATCTCACCACAGTAACAAACAGTCAGAAGGTGGAGGAGAACAACGTGAACTGTTACTGTGTCATAACGTGTTTCCATGAAACTAAAGAAACACATGATGACGTTTGTTTGATTCTCTGATGGTTGTTGTATAATAATAACAGTCAACAGTCCTGGTGTTTTAATGCTTCACCATCACAGACTCACAGCCGTTACATTACTAACACTTTGACACGAAGAGCAGCACAGAGGAAATAATATGTGCATGGCTGTTTGGATAAGGAGGAGGAAGAGTGACTTGGCATTAATCTAAACCTATAAGTGAAGCACAACCCATCATCATCATCATCATCCCAGTTTGAAAGGGAACAGAATGGATGCCTACACTGGAGGTAAGCACAAATGAAAATATTTTATATTATTATATGTATTTTTACAGTTTCCTTTTCTCAGAGAAACATTAGAAATATCTTTCCACTTTTTTAGAAATGTTGGCAAACTTTACTTGAACTATTCAGGCAAAATGACAAAGAAAAAAAAAAGAACTTGTTCTTGTTTTTGAAAAAGCAACAAAAGTTGGACTGAACTATTGCAAAGTTAACCAAGTGTCTAGACAAGAAACAAAATGAAGAAGTTTCTTTCGTCCTTATGTACGATGGGGATTTAAGGCCAGAAAGAAAAAAAAAAAAGTCATTTCATTATTAAAAAGTTTGTCACTTCAAACACAAACCTTTGTTTCTTTGCCTGGAGATTGAATGTTGAGGTGGTTTTGTAATAATATTGCAATCAAACAATTTAAATATAATAGAGTAGAACAGAAAGTAAAAGTACTTAAAACAAAGACACCAGACCTGCACAGATACAAAAAAATACACACCTACTTTAATGTTATGTTTTCTGTTCAAATGTCCAGGTTACCTGCAGTTTGTACTTGTGCTTGTGGCACTGCCTCACTTCACCTGTGACGACAGCAGCCGTTGTCCCAGTGCCTGTGTATGTAGAGCCGACGGTGCGGTCAGGTGTGTGGGCGACACCGTCACAGACGTGCCACAGCTGCTGCCTCCTGACACGTACCTGCTGGAGCTCAACGGCACGAGAATCACGGTCATAAAAGAGAGAGATTTGATGAAGAAGGATCTGCTGCTGCGCTTCAGTCTGACCTACAGCAGCCTGAACACCATCCACCCCCAGGCCTTCCACCTGGGCCCACCGCTCAGGTCCGTCAGGTTGTCGTATAATTATCTCAACACACTTCCTGACAGTGTATTCAGACAACTGACTACTCTGGAGCAGCTGTACTTAAATGGAAACCAGTTCGAGGTCATCGGCTCCGACCAATTAACTGGACTGACGAACCTTGTGGCGCTCGACCTGAGCCGCAACAAACTGACCTATCTGGACTCGGATGTTTTTCAAGGACTAAAAAACCTCACCTTTCTGAACCTGTGCAGGAACTTCTTGAAGAGGCTTCCGACGACCGTCTTCAACTCTTTGACGAATCTTCAAGAACTGCACATTTACAACAACGAACTGGAGGTGCTACAAGCTGGGCTGTTTGATCAGCTGGTCAACCTGAGGGAGCTGCAACTTTACCACAACAAAATTACCACGTTAGCACCACAGGTGTTCTGGTCACTGCAGAAGCTCACAGTTCTTAGTTTGTCGTCCAACCAACTCACGTCCATACCGGAGAAAAGCTTCTATAACATGCCCAGGCTGACCAAGCTCACAATTTACAAAAACCCTTTGCTTTTCCTGCCAGAGCAGCTGATGGGAAACATGCCTGAAATCCAAGTATTTTACTTGTTCAGTACAAATCTCACGACTGTTCCAGGAAACTTATTCACTAACATGTCTGGTCTGCTGGAACTGAACTTCCATTTGAATGAAAAACTGAAAGAACTGCCCCCTGACCTTTTCTGTTGCCTCCGTAACCTTAAGAAGCTCTCACTGAAGTCCAACAATCTCCATGATTTAGAACCTCAGCTGTTCTCCAGATTACCTGCTCTTAAGTTACTGTTCCTTAACGATAATAAACTGCGGCGTCTCCCTGAAAACATTTTTCGAGGCATTGCTGGAGTTTTGACCATTAATTTAAGTAAGAACCTCCTAACGACTCTTCCTGGAGACATTTTCCAGTCCAACACAGCTTTGAGGAGTCTCAGCCTTAGTGACAACCCCTGGGATTGCACCTGTAACATCAGGGTTCTTGCCAGATGGATCGCACGACACAACGCAGTGGTGACCGACAAAAACTATGTCATGTGTGAAAGTCCCCTCTACCAGATGCTGCGCAGGGTCGACTCCCTGCCCGATGAGGAGTTCAACGTCTGTGATGTCACAACTTATTTTCCCTCAAACACGGACTTAGATAAATCCACACAACCACTCTTCACCAGCACACAAAACACCATCCCCCCAACAACAACAACAACAACAACAACAACAACAACAACAACAACAACAACAACAACAACAACAACAACAACAACAACAACAACGACTCCAGAAATAACGACTCCAGAAATAAGACCAAGCAGCAAAGACACCCAGAACCTCAATATTCTGACAACAACCAGCAGAGGGTCAACCAGCCCTGCCTCCTGGACGTTGACCACACAGGCTGAGGTCACCAGTACGATGTCAACCATGTCAACGCTGCACGTTTTCTACGACGTGCTGGTGATTGGGTGGGGCCCTGAGTTTGTTCACCACAACATTCACAGCGGCTGGGTGTACGTGTGGTTTCTGCCCTCAGACACAGCCTGGACTGCTTCCCTCATGTTCTGTCATGTCTTTCTTCTGACCACAGGCTTGGTCTTCATTCTTGCTTCCATATATGTAATGAATCTCCTCGACAAGACAATGGATGAACTGAATCCACGTCACTGATGGAAACAAAACATGTCATCAGACCTGATTCAGTAGAAAATAATTTTTTGTTTTTTGTTTTTTTGTTTTCTTTTGATGCTAAACTATTTACAGTAACGTATGCACCTATGTTTGGTTTGTGATACAATAATAAGATATTAACATTCATGTAAAATACACCTTGATTAATGAACATTTCTTTACAAACAGCTTCTAAACTTGGCTAACAACAATCACAGCAATGCTTTAAAATAAATCGTGGTCACTTATTGTGTGGTAGCGTTAAAGAAATATGAATGAACCTGATGGCGACGCGTCCAGTTCAATAAGACACTGGACTGGAGTCTCCCCATATCTGCTGTCCTCAGTTATTTTTCCATTAATGCCTTTGTTTTGTTGGTTCTTTCACTCTGTTTTTGTCTTCTTCCCTCAACAAATACACAAGTGAAAGAATGTGTTAAAATGCCGCGTGGTAACCATCACGGCCACACCTAGTTATTCTGTTCATTCCTAAATAGAACCACGTTTCCATGTGGCAGTGTGAAGATTCCATCTTTCCTACTGTTGGTGTTTGAACATTTCAAGCTCTGGTTCTCAAATGGTGGGTCATGTGGTTGAAATATTAACAAACAGGTCACATATGTGTATGAAAATATAGAATAAAACATATTTTCAAGCTGTTTTGTTTTAGTCCATGACTAACTCTTATATACAGTACTTTAATAAACTTGAAGCTGTTTTTGATGATAATCCTTTATCACATCCTGCTTATAATGAACGTTTTGTATGATAATCCTTTATCACATCCTGCTTAGCTAAGAATGATCTTTTTTCACATTTCATATTTTTGAAATATTCCTCATATATGTTGAGTCTGAATGTTTAAGTTTTTACTTTGCTTTTTGGCTTATTTTTAGGTAGTGTTTTAAGAAGAAGACTTTAGGTAATAAAGAAATTCTTTATACACAAACACAAATATTTTTAACTAACAAATACTTGTAAAGTGGGTCCCAGATTGTGGACCACTGCGGACTATCTCAAAGAATGACGCAGTTCGACACATTCTTGATTTCACACTCAGTGAATCACATGTTTTTTTGGAAGGCTGATTCATAACCAGGTCATCGGGGCATTTGGAGATAAGTTCTTCTGTAAACATTCCTCCCAACTTGGATTCTTGTCCAGGGTGTTTTTTTTTTTACCTGGAATTGTTATGAAAGGAGATCAACTCTGCCAGGAAGAATCTATGAACTTTTGCTTCACGGCGACACTGAGGAAACACCGAGGCTGGTTTTTACACTGAGCTAAACTCTGTTGCTATGACAACTAGTAATTGGGCTTTTCCAGTAGGCCGAGTTCGCACAAAAGTAGGAAGAAAAAAAGGTCACACAATCACAGGACACACAGTCGAACACACAAACACACACTACTCACCAACTTGATGGAGATTTGACTAATGCCGGTGCGAACGGCTGCGACTGTTGGGACCTGTTGTAAAAATAAAAGCAAAATATCTGGGTTTTACTCTGTGAGAAACAATGATGCTTTAAAACTAGCATTAGTGATTTAATTGAACCTTGTTCTTCATTATTTGTCACACGGTGAACAAACAGCTCAGAGATATTCATTCTTTAGAATTCTAAGGTACTGACACCCACCAATAAAACCAGCAACAAATACACCAACTACAAACCACTAGTACCAACGGTAATTTAGACGTACTTTATCTTCTTCTTTCTCTACAGCAGTACGCGAGAACTATACGTTAACTCCACCCTCACTATCTGAGATCTGTGTCTGGAGGAGGAGTACATCAAACCTACAGCTGTGCAGTAATACTACTAGCTGCAGAATACTTCAACTCAAATACTCAAATCTTAATTTGGCAACATTCAATGTTAACAACAGAACAACAAGCAAATGCTTTATTAGCAAAACATTTAATACTAGTTAATATATATATATCACGACATCATACTTTCTCTGGTTAAGATCATGTATATAACTGGAAGGAAAAGAATTTAAAAAAAGTTTTTTTTTCTTGCAGCAGTAAAAGTGTGGGCTGCAAAATTGCACTGCATCATATAAGAAAAAAAACAAACCAAAACTTTGTGCCTGGAGCTGAAGCAAATACTACACGTATCAGTGGTAACAGTTTTTATAGGTAGATGTGGAATAAGTGAAAACACATGGATGTCCTCTGAGGTTGAACCTGACACATCCTCCTACGGGTTATTATCCTACTTACATAAACCCAGCAACAGAGGGTGGGGCTTCTCCCCCTCATCCCCAGAACATGTGGGGGTGGGATCGTGTGAGAGGGGCTGAAGGAGGGCAGAGAGAGTGACCCACTGTTCTGGGAACGGACCTGCAGATTTTCACGGGCTCGGGAAACTACATGTTGACGGAAAACTGGGGGAATAATGAAACAATGACGAAGGTCAGCAAAACGTAACGTTCCAAAAGTGCTGGGAATTTTGTGAATCACAGAGTTCATCAGAGCTGAGGAGGAAGGAGAGAAGCACATAGAAGATAACCACTGGTCTCTGGTCGGTCACTGAACACTACTGGACGTAAGTTGTTTTTTAATTTACTTCATTTAACATGTCTTTTAACAGTGTTTCTAGTACTTTTTAACAAACACACACAGACAAACAAATGTAGGTGCGTGGTGGAGATGAACTTATTAGACAGAAAAAGACTGTTGTACCATATATATAACTCCACCACTGGCTGTTCATCTTGTTGAGTGTTTTTGTGTGACAGACCATGTGGTTCAGTGTAGAGATAAAAGAGGGAGAAGTGGAGCCATCCAGTATAAAATGTTAGTTGTTTGCTAAAGAAAATGAAGCCTTTAGCAAACAGTTCAGTTTTTTACTTTTTAATGACAACATCCTGATCCGTCAGCTAATGTTAATGACAACATCCTGATCCGTCAGCTTTGGAGAAGCTGGGGAAGCAGTCGGACCAATTAACAGGAACAGGAAATGCTTTAGCCATGACATACTGTAGTACTTTGACCCTTCATTAACACTTCATCAAAGCCACAGACATCACAGGGTCTAAAAGAGAAGTGTATTGTTTGATTGTAAAGAAGTGTGTGGATACTGAGTTTTGACCAAAGGAATGAGAAGGAAAGGAAGAAAAAAGAAAAAGAAAAAAGAAAGAAAACTCACACTAATTAGAAAAACCTGTGTTCAACATTCCCATTTCTGGCAGTTCTCACATGGAAAAGAGAAATGCAAACCAGAGAAATGAGAAAACTGTAAAGTAGCTCACGATACAAATTTGTTCCAGTTTGTATCACCCGAGGTTTAAAATTGTGATTTACTTTAAAAAAGATCCAAAGTAAAGCTCAGTCCACCTTTACTTTGGATCTTTTTGTAAAGGAAATCACAATTGTGAGGTGGTTAACAGAACAGATCAAACTTCTCTGTTGTCTCCGTGCTGTTTATGTTGTAGTAATTCTATCCCACAAGAAAAAACTTGATTTTTGGCCCATGATATTAAATTCCTGTCAGAAATGTCAATATTTTGAGTTTGACATTACCCAAATTTGTGAGAAAAAAAAACTGAAAAAAAAAAAGTAAATGTACATAACATTAGACTACACCTGAGTCAAAGTGCTTCGACAAACGCTTGAAGGTTGTTACGCTTAACATGCAAAATTCCAAGGACAGACGTTTTGCCAAGAGAACTCCATGTCAGCCTCAGGGTGTGGTTTTTAACTTTCTTTTTCTTCTTTTCTAGGAGAAGATGGATCTCGTGGAAGCTCTTCACATCTTTCTACTTTTGTGCTCTCTTCAAGTTGGTGTGTGGACGTGTCCAGATGGTTGCAAATGTAAAGACCCTAGAATCCACTGCACTGGCCTCACAGACCTCCCCAGAGCTTTACCCTCGACTATAACTACCCTCCACATGTCCAACTGCAGCATCAACTCACTGAGTGCAGACGACCTGAGGAACGTCTCCAACTCCCTCTTGCAGTTGTTAATAAAAGACTCTGTCCTGAGGGAAATTCAAACGGGAACATTTGATTCCATAGTAAACATGCGTGACATGGGGTTTGTTGAAACTGGACTGACAGATCTCCCTGATTCTTTGTTCAATCATCAAAACAGCCCATTAATGCCTTTGTTTTTGTTGCTGATTCTTTGTTCAATCATCAAAACAGCCTTCGTTATTTAACTTTGGAGGGCAACAAACTAACTGTACTTCGACCTGCTTGGTTTTCCTCACTGACAAATGTAAAGTTTCTTGATCTTAGTCAGAATCTTTTCACTTCTGTACCTGAGAAAACATTTCACCCTCTTTCTTCTTTAGAATATCTTAAACTTTCCGGAAACAATATCAGTTATCTGTCCAAGAAGACTTTCGAGGGTCTCACTAGCCTTACAGTTTTAAGGTTGAGTAAAAACTCTCTACAGGAACTCCCCCCTGGCAGCCTGCATGACCTGGAAAACCTGGAGGAACTTTCTCTAAATGACAATCAGATCACTCAGCTCCACCCTGACCTGTTCTCTAAGACCTCCAAGCTCAACAAGCTTTCCCTTTCTCACAACAGGATTACATCCCTTCCACAGGGGATCTTCTTAAACCTTCCCCTGCTTTCACACATCTCCTTGTATCAGAATCAGCTAGAAAGTCTGAGTCCAGGGACATTTGGTCCAATGACGTTGAAGGAGCTGTGGCTATATGACAACAATCTCAGCCGTTTAGAAGAAGACACATTCAGGAATCTGACTCAGCTTAAACTCCTGGTGCTTAGTCGCAACCAAATCAGCCATGTTTCCCCCGGGGCATTTCGAGGGTTGGAGCAGCTGGGCGAGGTATCGCTTCACACCAACCGGCTCACATCCCTGCAACCTGGAACTTTCCAAGATCTGTCTAATCTGGTCAACATCTCCCTGGAGCACAACTTCCTCCACTCTCTCCCACCAGGTGTTCTCCAGGGCCTGAGTCATTTAGGAGAGATAGATCTGAGAAACAATTCTTTTCAAAATCTTCCACGGAAAAGTTTAGAATCACTCACCATCGCAGACAAAGTCCGTTTAGATCAAAACAACTGGAAGTGCGACATGGGAATCCTTCCTCTGAGAGACTGGATGAATCAACATCCATCCAAAGTGAACCAGTCCCTCATGGTGTGTCACTTACCTGACAGTTTGAACGGCGAGCCAATTTCTCAGCTTACAAGTGAGAATTTGATCCCCATCTTCAGCTCCACTGAAGAGCCTGAGTTAACCACAGCAGAGAGGAGGCAGACGCCCTCACCTGGTGTCAAGACCACCACCACCTCAGAGCACGTTGGGGTCACAAGCAGCGGATCAGGGGAACATGGAGAGGGTTCTAACTCTACACTGACCACTCTCATTGTTGCTGCAGTCATGTCCACCGCTGTCATCAGCGCTGTCATCACTGGCTGTTTGTGCTGGCAGAAGAAGAGAAGAGGCAGCAGAGACATTGAACAGAGGAATAAAAACTATGTCCTGTAGACAAACCACTGAACATCTGGAAACACTTAAAAAAAGAAGAAGTAGTACTCACTAATGACAGTAGTTAGGTTGAAAAAGTAGGGTCAACGGGCACAGGAAGAACTTTGTCTTTTTCCACTTTCATTCATTTTCCTGAAAGCTGTGTGTGCTTTAAAATCAGGAATGTCATCATTGTAAAACCTTTTTATGAAACTTTTATGAAAGTAAAATGGTTTGCAATAGAATCACATATTATATTTTTCTCACACCTTACATTATGGCAGTTTGGGCCAAAAACAAAACATTTGAGCAAAATTACATCTTAATGTAAATGTACAATAAACAGTGTACACTGTTTATAACTAACAATATGACACGTTACACTGAATAAATGCACTGATTTGAGTTTTTACATGTTGATTTTTTTTTTTTGTCCTCTGCATTTAAACTTTCACCATAGTGAGTCGGTATGTGAGGACAGTGAGCTCAGCGTAGCCAAAAATGACACTCAAGTAAAAGTACTGTTACTTCAGAATAATACTACTCAAGTAGGAGTAAAAAGTAGTCATCCAAATAATTACTTGAGTAAGAGTAAAAAAGTACTCAAGTACTCAGTAAAACGATTTTAGGTTAAACTTACCGCAACATATTTCCTCTGGTTAAATGTTGAGTTTTTGAATGCTAAAATATCTCTTTGTTTTGGGAGAGACAAAAGACACCGCATGATGTCGCTGCTGTTCCGCACTGTTTGTAAACTGAACATGTTTTCAACATGAGTCCCGGGCTGTTCCTCCTCGCCTTCGTCTGCATTGTCGACCGTTGTTTCTACCATTTTTTGCTATCAAAGACGGTAAATATCGACCGCAGTAGCCGCTAAAATAATCCGTCCCGCCGCTGAGATTGAGTATGGTCACGTGACGAGACTGGTCTACGTTTTATTGGTTAAACACAGTCACGCGAGCCTTGGGCGGAAGTCTCTCTCTCTCTCTGACAAAATAAAAGTAGAGATACTGGATCATGGAGGAATAGAGACTGGATACTGAATAACTAAAGTTTTATCCAGTGTCTCTGATAAAAGTAACGAGCTCAGTATAGCCTAATGTAGAGTAAGAGTAAACTCTTTCTTCTTCATAAATCTATTCAAGTAAAGTAAAGTAAAGTATGGTGATTTAAGACTACTCCCGGAAGTATTTTATTTTGAAAGACTTACTCACGTAAACTTAACGGAGTAAATTTAACTCGTTACTACCCACCACTGCCACCAGGGCAACACCATATTTTTTAGGTAAAGGTCGAGGCAGATTCTCTCTCAAACATAAAGTTATAGAAATAACTTTCAAAAATATATGGTAAAGATACTTTCAGGAGCAACACATTTAGTAGTAACTTCAAAAACTCCCTCAATGTTTTTACTTCATTTGTTAAAAGATAAAGCAGCGCCATCTCCTGGAAGAAAATTCAAATAACACTGGGAAAGAAATCCTGGTTCTGAGAAACCACGAAGTGGTTAGGGAAAATAATCAGAGGATATATAAAACATAAAAATGAAAGCAATAAAAAACTCTAGTAAATGTCTTATGCAATAGATCAAATGTTAACCTATCAATGTGAACATTCAGTGGAAAGCTGTCTGTGATGTGCTGGAACATGGTATCAGACATGAATAAATAAAGCCAACGTTGCTGCTCTTATCTCTGCTGCACACGTGTTGGACCACACCTCACGCTGTGAGACGCACCACGCTGAAGACCTGCTGTCCAACACCGTCAGAGAAGATAGTTAATGACACTTGTTTTGTGTCTCATCACGAAAAACAACTGCGTTTTGCTTCATTTTTGAAAAAATAAATAAAAATCAGGTAAGTCTTTAATTTTTGACAATTGATTGTGATTTTAAATGTCAATCAAAGTTATGAAGTGACTTGGTTATTGAATGATGTGTTGTTTTCACACTAAAAAACACATCATTCAATAGCCAAGCCACTTCACAGACTAAAACACAGCCATATATGGTTCGGCTATATTTTAGGCCAAGTTTTAGTTTTTCCTAAATTTCCCCAAAGGAACTCCCAAAGGATTAATAAAGTTAATCTTAAAGCTGTATCGATCTTAAA